TGCAGGTGAAGGAATATGGGTTTTGTTTCCTGTAATAGCTGCTGTCCAATCTTCCAAAAAGAGAGCTTTCTGAGTTTTGATTAGCGAACGGCATTAATTGATTATTCATATTCATTTTGTCTTGCATCCTCTCTGCAGTGCGTGCCTTGATTGTTGTGCTCATTCGTGTTTTGAAAGCTAATTCTGTCGTAACTTATTGAAGCCATGCTGTAGCTTCAATAAGCATCTTAAATGTCAGTGAACACCAGCACAAAGGACCAAAATGTTAGCGTGATCTCTAACTGGCATAAATGCGAGCAGTTCGCGTGGCCTCCTCTCCTGTGTACATGAAGCATTACCTCACAACGTTTTCATACATGCCATACAAGTCTCAGGTGTTCGTGACAGACTGATGGACTGCTATCTTCTGCTCTTCTCTAGTTTCTGGATAAGTCGCAGGACGTCTTGCTGAAGCACCAGGCCAGCATCAATGAGCTAAAGAGAGCCTTGAGGGAGCCCAACAGCAAGCTGATGAACCGCGAGAAGCGTCTGTCAGCGACCTCCCCAACCGGCACACCAGAGAAGAAGGCTGTGAGTGGGGGATGAGGGTAGGGGAGCTGTGGAGGGCTTTCAGGTCCATTATGGTCAATATCTCAAATCTAGCGACCTCTAAAACTTGACATTCCATTAAAGGACATCGATATTCCCGTGTGCCAGTGTCCTCTTTCCACTTCTCGCTCTCGGGCTTGTTATGCAGGTTTTTAACTGCTTCATTAGTCTAAAGAGATACTGCACGGTCATATGATTTAAAAAAACATAGTGATTGAGCGTGATTGTTGAAGATAGATTTTGTTTTCCCTGCAGGCATTTCAAACAGGCGTCTCCAATATTATGGCAGTCGGAAACCATCATACAAATCCCCTGTTTATTTTAGGACAGCCGTGTAATGAATTGCTTTCTACCTTTTCTCTGGAATACCAGGATAATTCTCTAAATATCTCAGAGGTGCTTGAAAATGATTGACAAGTAGCACACAAGGAAACATCTTGATGAGATTAGATCCGAGATGTTTTTGAGGTTTTCTCAATGCGAGGCACTCGAGAACTAATCATCAGCCATTTTTTCCTCCCCTGATTGCCTAACAGTTAGATCGTTTTCTTTATGCTAGATCACAAAATCTCTCAAGCTTTGATGGTATTGTGGTAATAGGGCTTTTAAAGATGAGATTGGCCTCTTCAGATAGGATAGTGTTTGCTGGTGCCCAAGTTGCCTTCAGACAATCTCTCATCTGCTGTCGGCCACAATCAGATTATAGCCACAGAATGTCAAATGTTGTCTGTGGCAGAAAATGTAATCTGCTGTGTGCTTCATTCCAGAGGTCGGGGTTGTTTCTGTTTGAGTGACATTCGAAAGCTGGGAAAGTCTTGCTTCTCTTTACTGTTTCCAAGAGATTTAGTGAAACTCAGCTCTTTGATGTTGTTGCAGAATAAAAAAAAATCTTTTTGCATTGCAAATGCCTCCAGATTTGCTTTTGTGGATTTGGTGGCTGTCAGGTACATGGAGCTGCATGATTTTAGTTTGAAGTTCATTAAAAAGTTTCTGCTAGAACAACTCACTTGTGTCCTGTTAACACTGATTCTTTCTGCCTTTTGCTTGAAGTTGTGTCTCACAGAATTGCTCTAATGGCTGTTCTTCCTTCTCTCTTTTAAACCCTCCGTTCTGCCTCGTCTCGGTCAGTCGGTGGGCCGGGCAATGGGAAAGGAACCTGTTAACAGCCTGTCTGTTGAGGGTTTCGTCCAGAAGACTCTGGTGACTTCACCCGAGGTTGCACATCTCTCACTCTTTCTCTTTCGCTAAGCAGTTTACTGTTTGTAGCATTGGCATGGTGCAGTGCAATTCCTATTATGTACTGCTGTCTTTCCCCACCCAGCAAAAACTTGCTGAAAAGATGACTTTGCTATGACGTATGACAAAAAGAAGTAGTTTTCAATAATAATGTCTGTTACAATTGATATGCATAAAGCCAAAGCAGGAACACCTTAAAGCTGGATTCTATCTGAAGGCTGCTGGATTATGATAGTTGTAGCTGCAGAAAGACTTGCTGTCCTTTAGAAATAAAAAAGTACCTGTAGTATGAGACTGCATGCTCATTGCATAACGAGCTGTCAATCCCAAGTCAACAGGCAACGAGCGTGCGGTTTCTCAGTCAGCTCTGCCCCATTCTTCCTAACTGGACTTTGCCAACCGACATCACGTTCGCTACATCTGTCCTTTATACTGTCTGGACTGTAATGGCGCCTAAACATTGTGCCCTAAAACACAGAGCAGGACTGAGGAGCAGTCCACAAAGAAACATTAGACTGGTCTGTAGAGTTAGACGTGTCTTCATTTTACTCACAGTTAGTCTATTGTAAGTTTGACTGTTTCAGAAAAATAAAGGCCGAGTCATTTACAGCCACAAAAAACAACCCCGTCGGACTCGAGCCCCTTACTGATGTTGCCCTGGTAACAATCAGCAACACCTGCTCTGACTAGTGGCACTCAAAAAGGAAAGAAGGGCTTTTATTTTGTGGAGTACTAATGCTATCATGGTGAGTTGTTAGAGTCTGTAATGACTCACTGGCAATATAAAGCAGTGAGGATACTTTGTTTGCCCTATTCAACTATCCTAGTCTGACTTAGACTTAGCAAAGGCTCTGAGCCTTTAGAAGCTATTGTATCCAAGCTGTGGTGTGGGTGTTTTATGCTACACTCACTAGAGTTTTGTGTTTCATAAAGTTATTTTTTTAATTATTGCCACACTTCTAAAAACGACCTTGTTTATGTTAAATTCCTCCAAAGTCCTTCAGTCAGCCATTTTTTTTTCTCCTTTGAAAAAAGTCTACATTTGCCCAGAATTAGTTGTTAAACATAAAAAAACGACTAAACTAGTTTGTTCAGCTCATAAATGTGATGTTTTGTAGATTTAGTGGGAGTATATCAAAAGATGAGGCTTTTCAACAGCCTGAAAGACAATTTGTTGCAACATCTGATAAGTTTGTCTTTTTAAATGAATATTATTGTTATTACTTTACATCTTTTCAACAAGTTTTTGCAGTGTCTGATGTGAGTCCATCAGGGTTACATGTGATCCCAATGGGAGATCCATTTTGGACTAAATTTAGACTAAATCAAATTAAACTCAGCGCAATTTCAATGACTGTTTTTGGGTTAAATAAATGTCAAGACCGGCTGACCCGATTCAGCACAAAGGTCTGCCCATGGTGCTCGGGTGGTGATTTGTTTACCGTTTTAAAGAAATGCATATTGAATAGGTAATACCAATGTTCACTAGAACTTCAATATGTACATTTTGGGCCCTTTTGTTGGATTGAAGTCCTTGTCTAGATTTGATTGTTTGCAGTAGTTGTGCTTGTCTAACTGTGTTTAATCTATACCAACATGTAGGGCTCTGAGGAGTGGGTATTGATTGAAAAACAAGAACCTTATCAACAAGACCATGACTGGAAGGCAGAAGAAAAGAACAAATCTCTCACACCTGATTCCTCATGGGAGAAAAAGGGTCTGGAAAAAGAGATAGACGTTAGCAAGATGATGCATAAGGAGGTAGCAGGGTATGACAGAAAAGAAATGAAAAGCCATATTGATGAGTTTCCATCAACAAAATCGTCCAGAGAGGCAGATGTATGCTCTGAGCCTCGGCGTTTTGTGATCCAATTATCTGAGAATGCCGACTCGTTTCAAGACGAATCTCAAAGCAAACCAGCTCGAGCCTCAGACCCTGAGGCGAACAGCGATGCAGCCCCGGGCTTGCGGCACATGAAGGAGCGCACGGCTTCTAAACCGAGAAAAAAGAGGAGACCCCAGAGCTTAAACCTGGGAATGCCCACAGAGCTCGTCTACAGGAAAGGAGGAAGCGATTCCACCGAAGACGAAGACGAGGGCTCGGACTCAGACAACAACTCAGAAACAGCAGCGAAGAGAGGAAATCATTGCGAGTCGCCTCCAGTGGCAACGATGAAAGATGATCAGGGTTTAGAAAAGGATCAGCTGATCAGGGTCTATAAAGACGGCAAACAAGAGGGTAAATTAGTTGGAGAAAGCAGGGAGGTCTCCACCCAAGGAGCAGAGCAGGTAAAGAAAAAGGTGAGCCTTGTTGGGACAGCAGATGTCGATTTAGGCTCAGTGAATGGACCTGGAAAAATAGAGCATGAGAGCTCATTCTCAGGGTCTAAAGGAGAGTGTGTGCTGAAGATGCGAGGGAAAGGCTTCATTGACAACAAAGAGTTAGCAGAGGTTAAACTACGACAGGTCAGGACACATGAACGAAAGGTCAGTAGCTCTGGAGGAGAGGATGTTGAGGGTTTCTTGGGCGACAGAGGTCAGAGGACGTCTCTCCACCGACTGTCAGGCAGCAGCTACCAGTCGGAAATAACCAGGATTGTTCCTCTCAAGCCGGAGCGTTCGAAGAGCGTCACGTCCAAGGACGAAAAGGACCGTACGGGACAGGACGATCCAAGACGGGGGATCAGAAGAGAATACCGGTGGTCGGTTGGCTCTCCGGAGGGATCCTCAGACCTCAGCTGGACCGACGGTTCCAACTTTCATCCAGCGTTCGCGTCAGATCTGGAGGGCGTTGCTAAAATCGAGCATCCAGACGACAGCTTTCAGTGTGGTAGAGTGTTCGCGGAGAGCCAGTCGTTCAGCTCAAAGGTTTCAGGGCTTCCCAAAATGGCCCCTCCAGCGCCGCCGGTGAAAACACAGAAGGCGAGAGAGTCCGTGCTAATACTCCGGAACAGCAGAAACGCCAGCAGGGAGCCGAGCCTGGACACGGCCAAAAAGAGACACTCGGTAACTCCTCTTGGCATCTGCTATTCAGTCATTGGAAACAAAGCATGAGCTTCAGACAGACTTCAGCATGAGCACGCCATTATTCTTTTTTCTCCGTTTTCAATGACTTGAAACACTCATCCATCTTGCCTTGTTCGTGCCTGCATGAAGAGCAGGCGGAGCCGTACCTCTGCTCTGTCTTGTGGCAGTCAAAAAGTGTGGACATTTTCCCATAAGGCAGTCCAGTTTATCCCCCCCTCCCATTGCCTTTTGACATGCACCACACTGTCTGGCAAATCTGTACAGCTCAACACTGGCTGTGAAAGTTTAAACACACACACACGCAAAAAAAAAGAGTCATGTTTCGGTGTTTTGGTTCATCTTTTTCAGCTGCTGAACCTGAAATTTCCTCCCAGCTCACATTGTTCTCTGTCAGAGGGCGGCAGACTCACATATTATCGCCGCTCCGATGATTTATCCTCATCTCCATGTCATTTCCAAGCTGGAAATACAAAATAAGCGATTTATTGCATTGGAACGTTAGAAATTAAATCACTCATTTGTGAAAGGAGAGGGTGGGGGTGTACTGTCATCCATTACTTTGTTAGAGAGCTAATATCTTCCAAAATTAGAGATAAATGGAGTATAGAATTGGTTTGTGCGCAAAAGATTGAGGAAGCACATCAAACTGATAACCCTTAAAAAAAAAAAACTACTCAGAATTTACAAACTGTCGCTGGATCCGTCGCATGGGTGGTAATAAATCAGAAATCATGCGTTGCATTATTTCCATTTACCCTCACCTGGATTGAAAGCCCAGCGGTGTTCTAAACACACCAGTTCCTCCAACTGTGAAAGCCCAGCAGGCAGCAAGCAGACAGACACCACAGCTCAGTGCCTGACACAGTCAGATTTGCTGCTTTCATTTCACTGTTGGTATCATTGGGAGCTTGCACGTGTTTGGCACCGGAATGAAAGGAATTTGGAGTGAATAGACATGACAGCTTTCATCATTCCCCACCTTTTCATCTGAGTCAAGTTCTTGCATATATTGGATTAAACAGGCATGAGGAGAGAGGTGTTGCGTAGCTCTCAGTGTGCGAACAGACCTCACTGGCGAGTGACAATCACATTAAGATCTGATTGAAGTGGGAGAGGGGGGCCTGGGAAAATATTACGGTGCTCCTCCAAACACGTGGACCCACTCTCCCAGTCATTTTGACAGGTTTTGAAATGCATCACGGCACCTTTTTTCTTAAATTTTTTTAATCAGAAATGTAACAACATCATTTGACTGTATTTGTGTTCAAATTCACGGTGAACCATTGCAACACTTTCTCAGTTAGTGGATGAGTGGCTGCTCTTACTACCAGAAACCTGCTCGTTATACAAAGTGCATGATTTTCTTGCCCTGCCTCTGCTAACTACAACAAATGGCTGTAGATATCGTTGTTGCTTTTCTGTCCTCTAAACTTCTACTGCTGTTTGCTTTTGTCACTGTAGAGCAGTCCTTGAAATTTGTGCTGGTATCCATTCTGAACCTGACTGGATCTGACTGGTCAGAACCAGCGGGCTTGAATTGGGTCTGGCTGAATTTCTCACCTAAACTTGGGTTTGAGTTAATAGCACAAACTTACTAGTGTGTTTGTGTTTTGTATTTACATTTGGACCCTTCAGGATCCCAGTTTAGGTTTACGCTGCAATATTTTGTGCACAGAACCCCACTGGGCTCATATCTTCAGACCCCAGTCAATCACTGCTGTGTCAGTCAGTCCACACTCCACTCCAGCTTGTGCTAACCCTGAGATCCTCTCTCTGCTCTTTCCTCTGCTTCCCTCTGCAGGAGCCTGTCTCTACTCCTGCTATATATGAAGAGCCATTTGCTGACTTCAAGGTTATTCATTTGTATTTGAACCCACCCTTCATATGTCTCTGTCCATTTTTCTCTTTTCCTCCCT